TGCCTCTCTTGTGTTCTCCTTGTTAAACCAAGGTTTGACAGCATATTGAGGCATATCATTAACCTTAAAATCGCGTTTCTTATATCTAAATTTGAAAGGTTTCTTCCCCTTGTACCCAGTGGTATGTGAACCTGTTTGGGCCCAAAATATTATTGGGCCGAGCAACAGGATGCGCTGGGCCCAATGTAATGACAAATACTATGGGCCGAATAATGAAACTTGGGCCAGTTGGCAAGGTCGGCCAGATCCTATCCTAAGTAGTCCAGATGAATAGGAAAGGTCGAGGAAATCCTGGTGTGACCAGGATTCTCGACCAACGAGGAATAAAACCCCAAAAGGGAGGAAAATTCAGAATCCCAGTAGGAGTTGGATTATCCGAGTCAGAGGTGAAATGGGACAAGGACTCCCAATCTGAATCAGAATGCGAATTGATCTCAAGGAATGGGGTGCTATAAATACAAGAAATCACGTAATAGAAAGGACCTTCAACATCAGCATACAATTGCCCTGTGCAAAACCTCTCAAACACCTTGAGATTTTTCCTTTTCTTTTCCTGCCGACACACCTTCAGTTTGGATAAACAGCACTGTGGAAGCAACCGGTGAGCACCTTCAGTTTAGATAAACAGCACTGCTGCCGCAGAATCAGCCGACCGAGGAGCACCTTCAGTTTGGATAAACAGCACTGCGTCGAGGTCGACCGATTATCTATCTAAGTCTCGGCCGAGAAGGGTTTTCGAACTCTTGTTGGTAGAGGTCATCCTACTAAGCCTTTCCGGCATAGTTGGGTGTTACGAATTGCATTGCTCGGCGTATTGGACGCCGAGTGAGTTTATGATTGGATACTCGCAAGTAAGTTTCAGGGTTCGGCATTCCGACGGCCGAACTACGTTTACTATCAAGACGTATATCACATTCGAGTACTTGTGCCCGTATAGTTTGGTCTCGATTCGGCGTGCTTATACTCTCACGAATATAATCACGGTGACCGAACCAGGCTTCGGCGATTTGTGAACTCCGTAGAATTAGTAGCCTTGTCTTCAGGCTATAGAATCCAGAGACCGAGAGCGTTCCTTCCTCGGTCGCAATCGCAAGATACAGAAGTCAACAGCGCGCTCAACGCGAATACATCAAATTTCTCCTCGGCCGAGCTCGGCCGACGAGTTGGCACGCCCCGCATTCGACGAAGGACGTTAGTTAGCTCATTAGTTACTCGGCCTGCGCGCCACGTAGGTTTTGTAAATTTTAGAGTCAACAGAACCACTTTTGTTTTGAATACTAAGACTGCTAAATGCCTTATCACTCACTTCCTCATCTTTAATATGTCTTTTCAACCTCTACTCAAATCCTTTTAGAGTTGCAACGACCTCATTTGGAATCTCATCCAATTTCTTAGTTTCCTCAATGACAGAAACAATGTTATCATATGCAGGAGTTTGACTAATTAACATTTTCTCAACTAGTCTCTTGTTTGGAAAAGTTTCACCAAACATCTTCATCTTATTCACAAGACCAGATAATTTAGCTAGAGTATCAGAGATATATTCATTATTTCTCATCCTAGCATATTCAAAATCACAGCGAATACCTTGTAATTTCACAACCATGACTTGAGCATCACCCTTGAATTCTTGCTTAAAAACATCCCAAGCATCCTATGCAATCTCTTGATTTGCGATTCTAGGAAAGATCTCATCACTCACAGCTCCTTATATCAATCCCAATGCCTTTGCATATATGGAGATGAGATCTTGATCAGTAAGGATTTGTTTCTCATTCGTCTTCTTCCCTTCCTTCGATAATGTGAAGCCATCTTTAATAAAGCTCCATAGATTGTGAGACTTGAATATGGTTTTCATTTTGATACACCAAAATTCATAATTGACTCTCGTGAATACTGGTGCACGAAGATCGATGCTAGATCCAGCCATTTTTATGCTTCTGAGTTCTTCATTGAAAATCCAGACGAACACTCACATATTCACTCCCAGATTCAAATCCAACCTGGCTTTAAGGCCATGTTAATGTTTGAGCTACTTTTGAGCTAAATTTCTCTATGTATTCGTAATAAATTCAACAAGTAATTGAAATGGATTCAAAGATTGAATATTAGAGATGAAGTTTTGAGGAAGAATGAGTACATTGCTCCTCGAATCTACGTTGGATTCAATCCTCCAAAGTCGGCTTACATGGTGAGGTTTATAGTCGTTGCATACCGACACATGAACACACTTGCAATGTGACTATGATCACATGCTCAACATATGTTTTCATTTAACTTATAACAAACTAGACACGTGGAAGAATATACACCCTAAAGATGATATAATCATGTCCGTTCATTACATTATTTGAACTTTAGCTATCCTAACACTTGGAGCCTTTCGAACTTCATTTCTTCCTTCCATTTTTTAGCTACAATGCTTGTGTGATCCAGCTTCCAAGCTTATCCACCAACAATTATAAAGCATTAGAACATATTGAAAATTGGGGAACAAGCTTATAATAAGTGTTCATCCTAGTATTGAACAAGTCTTTTACATTTTATTGAAAACATAAAAAGCAAAATGAAAGTTATCGATTTTCTGTCTAAATAAGAATCGCAACCTAGGCGGGTGCCTACGCATGTTTAGGCGGGTTAGGCGCACTTTCTTAATTTTCAAACGGCTAAGAACTAATCGGGGCGGTAGCCAGCCACCGAGTGCCTAGAAGGGAATTTTTAGAATAGTGCTTGTACTAGAATGATATACTAATTTTATTGCCTCTAATTATTGCCTAAAAGGTTGAGTGTGATGTTTTTGTTTGATTCTCATTTCAAGCCCAACTCAAGATAGTTGTTAAATAACTCCCACTTTTGCAGCTTCTATAACTTAATGACAGTAAAGAGGCTGTTTACAGTGCTCTTGATGGATGGGTTGCATGGGAGGAAGACTTTCCCTTTGGAAAAATTAGGATGGCGTTGATTGCTCTTGAGAAGGGAAAACAATTGCAAGGACAATTCTACACAAACTATTCGATTTGGGAATACTTTTCCTAGAAAAAAGTTTTTATCATGTATTGAAGTGCTTCGCATAAGGATACGTGGAATAAGACTTTGTTGTTGTTATTGTTGTTTAACCCCATTAGGTAATCAAATGGATGCTAAGCAAGGGACAAGGAAACACAGTGGGAACATATGGGCAACTGATCCGAGCTTTAGATATAGACTAGAGACCCGAAGAAGCACACAAGTTTTGGGAGAAGAAGATTGACATGGATTTGCATGCAGTTCCATGGTAGTTATGCAAAAGTCTGATAGCTATATACTATCGAAACAACATGTTGACGAATCTTGTAAAGGTACAGTTTATTTTATCTAGACTTGGTTAATCAGTGTTCTAGAGTCGATCGATGCTTGGGCATTTCAATTTTATGTCTTTTTGATTCAACTACTTTATGTATTAGACTAGGCTAACCTGCCATAATCATGCTTGCATTCCAAAGCTTTTCGAGGGCCTGGAAGTTTTCGATCGCAAGCCTCCAGAGAAGTCAATAGTCCGAAGAGTGGAAGATGCATATGAGATGTTAGGCAGGCTTGAAGACAAAGATAGGGTATTGCAGAAGTACAACTATCTTTTAACAGACAATGTAGTACTCAAGAAATCCAGAATGGCCTTGTCTAAGAACAAGAAGAAACTCGGTTAGAACTTCGATTGTTGTTTAAACTAGTCAGCCAATCTATATGCCAAATTGATACTACTGTATGTGCGGTTTTGAGAAAAAGGCAAACAAAACTGTGTAACTGTTAAATGAAAAGCCCTTTTGGGAATTTGGTGGTTGAACCTCTGTTGGTGTGATGATTCTGTTTCTCTAAGCCGATCTCAATTCTCAACTCGCCAATTTTAGCTCGTTTGGTTTGATTTTTGTTCCAAATATGCGTTTCATTTGTAAAGTTTGATTCTGAATACATCTGAAGATGTACGAATCAGTCATTTTGCACCTTATTGCAAGTGAACTTTACACAACACAACATTCATGACTTGAATCTTTATGTTTCGGGCATGACCGGGTCTTGAACCACCTGCTTGTTGGCCGTGTTGATCAACTGCAACCATTGCTTGCACTACACGGTGGGCATGTGCGTCTCTCTACCTTTTTCTTCGGCACCTCTACTTCTTCGTGCTTCATTCTCTCCCTCATGGAGAATGTAACACCCTCCTCATGTTAGACATTGAAAGAACTCATCTTTTTAAAATCCAAGAATTGAAAAGCAAAGAGGACAAAGATGATTGGTGTGAGTAGATGAGGTAGTTTTAAGGGTTTTTATTGAGAAATCAGATGAAATTAAAAATGCAAATAAGGACACATGGCGCTGTGACGAGACTGGTCGAAATTCTTATCGAAAATCTGAACAAAGATTCTTCATGAATAGTGACACGTGATGCGCCAAGAGTGGGTGAAAATTTTATAAAAATTCTAGGGCGATAATGATACGTGGATGATAAGATCAAATAAAAAAATATTAATGCAGTGTCTAGGAGGATAAATATTGTCATTGTTTAAAATTAATAAACTTATTACAGACGAAGATAAAACATCACTAAATTGTAGTAATAACTACAAAACTTCAGAAAAATAGAGAATCAACTAAAACTTTAGTGAATTAGCTACATTCCTCAGGCAAAAACTAAGAACAATACAATGCACCAAATGTATTCTAGATATTAACAACCATGAGCTCAATTACATTACTAGTTTAGTACTACGGGTGGGTTGGAAAAACTGAAAATCGAAAAAAATCGGACCGAAAACTGAACCGAGACCAAAAAAAATTCGAACCGAAAAAAAAAACAAACTGAAATCGTCAATTCATATCTAGTTGGTTCGGTTTTGGTTTTGTAGGTCCGGAAACTGGACCGGACCAAACCAAACCGACATATGTAAATCATATATAAATACTTAAAACTTGGTGGTGTGAGGATTCGAATCCCTTCCCTAAAGTTTGAGAATAGCTGCTTCAAGCTAATTTGACTGTAGGCTTTGTGTTGCTATAATTGTACAAGTATAACATTTATAGGTATTTGAATTTTTAATTCTTTATAAACTTTCTAAAGCTTACAAACCCTAGCCGTCCCATTTCACCTCTTTTGTTTTCTCAAACACTCTCTCTCCCCTCGTCTGCATTCTTCATGTATGGTCTCTGCTTCCTCAGTCTCTCTCTCTCCTTCCTCTTTTCCTCCAAATCACTTTCTTTCCACTCTCCAGTCTTCTCCTATCCTCCTCACTGATTCCTTCTTTCAAACCATGATTTTCCCTCGTCCCTTTCGAATCGGCACCCCTCCAAATTGGAAGATTCTAATCCGGATTTTCCGATCTCTCATAGGTAATTTTCAAATCAAAACGAATATGATTTATATTTTGATTTTGCTGAATTAAAATGGATTTTTCTTTTAATTATTTTGTTGGGGTTTTGCATATTGTTCATATTTTGGGGTTTTCCATATTGACATCTGATTGGGTTATGCTGCACCTGTTTTGCTTTTCTTGATTGTGCATGCCTCCCTCCCTGAATGGCAGATCTTGAAGCTGCAGGGTCCATTAAAATCTGAAATTTTATGTACCCAAAATTGCAGTGTGCAGATTAGAGCAATGCAGGAGTGTTCAGAGCAAAGAAGAATCTAAAAATGCAGATAAATCCCATTTTTTTTTTTTTATCTTGATGTAAAATCCAAGGTTCCCAAATCAGAAATCCCAAACTTTTATAAAATCCAAATCAATGCATGTATGCAAACGGCGTGGTCGTCTGCACTGAACCGGAAAAATCGAACCGAAAAAAAAAAAAAAATTGAACTGAACCGAACCGAAATTTTCGATTTTAGCAAAAAACTGAACCGTTTTGAACCGAACCCAGCCCTATTTACTACAGTAGATATTGATTACTTTCTAATTTCACACTTCTTATTACAAAGTAACATTTGCATTATAGTACAATACCTAAAAACCTTGGGACATTGCCCGGAACTCAAATTCAGTTGAGTGAACGAGGTAAATCTGTGTGATTGTGATTTGATTTGAATGCCAACAACATTACTAAATTACATACATTTGTGATTTGAACCTTCTAAGGAACAGCAACAGGTCGAGGTTTCCTTGTTTGTTTTCGCATGTTTCAACTCCATCTGGGAAGGACAGAGTTCGGATATCACTTATCCACGACCCCAACTCCATTTACGGTGTAGTTTGTGAAGTCCTGATGCGCTTGCAATACTAAATGGTGATCTTCCAACTCATCCCGGTAGGTCTCTGGTTGTTTATGCAGGTTCTCTAGAGCTGCAACGTACATTTGTTTTCTCCATTCTTCAAAGCCTGGACACCCACACTGAGCTGCAAGCCACTCATCATACCCAAACTGCAGGAAACAAAAAACAAATATTTCATCGGTTCATGACATAAAGATACAAGTGTGGAGACCAACAAAATTTAATAGAAAAAATTTGTTGAATAGTGAATGAGGACTACTGGCATTAGCTAAGAAATCATTGTTCATATACATAAAGCAGATGTTTCAATCAGAGAAAACCATGTACCACACCTAGACAATACAACATGTACGCTTTTGAAAACGAGTGTGAATGAACATTACGGTGTTTGATTAGCAAGTGTCCGCAAATAATGATAATACCAAAAAACAAAACCAGCAGCAACAGAGATTATATAATCCATTCCCAATAGACAGATGAAGTTGCATTCTGCTGAAGGCCAAGAACCACAATAATTGGTAGTTAAAGATCTCAAATATTATATTTAGACAGCATAGACACGCTTAAAGTACGTTATCTGCATAAATTTATCATGTGCGGATCAGTCAAGAAAATATGAAACAAATCTTCTGTCATCAATTACCCCAAAGCCAGTAGTCTCAGGTCTCAACCTCTATGATGAATCAACTTCTGGTGAGGTCATGAGGGTTTGGAGACTAGATAACAACTTAGGCAGGAAACAAAGATATTGAATTTACCTTGTAACCAAAAACGTTGTGAGTGTAATGCTTAGGGATGCCCAAAGTTTGAAGCGAAGAGTGGAAAGCCTTGACATCCTCCATCATCTCCTCTTGTGATGGAAGTGCAATACGGTTAGACAAAATGCCTGCTATCCATTTGCTTTGAAATTCAAACATGGGGAAAGGCGCAATCTAGCACATGATATTCAATGATTTACTTCAACCATCAATAGAAGAGCGAACCAAAAGAAGCGCAAAAATATGGAAAATAATTTATAGAAGAGAAATACCATCCATGGTAACCCTACAAAGGAAAGTGATGGAGCCAAAGCACGTGGGAAGATGTGCTTGTACAGTGGGCCAACACAGTTATCATCGACGGTCACAATGTCATTGGTTTTAAGGAATGGGAAATGATATTTGTACCTTGAAAAGTAAAACAAATATTACCACTTGCTGCTCTTTCATTCAATACAGAAATTTACATGATAGCTTGAAGTCCTAAAATTAAACAAAGTAAGTATACCCTGTGCAGTAAAGAATGATATCAGCAACGACGAAGCTCCCATCTCGGAAAACAACACTACCATTTTCATGGACACTTTTGATCTGCATTTGTTCAAACAATATCAGCAACTTAGGATAAAGCGATCTCCAGCATCTGGCTTAAACAAAATTGAAAACTCCATTGATAAACTTCTCATCATAGCACCCAATTCTTACCCTGGGTGAAGTCTATTACCATAGAATGAAGCCACATGTTATCATAGCCGGGCTGCTTTTCATTGGTTTCATCAGGGAGAGATCTAGACGCAATGTGAACTTCTTTTGCTATTCCAGCTATTTCCCGTGAAATATCAATAGCACTAGTTGCGCTCCCAATCAAAACTACAACCTATGCACAGCATGGAATGAATACGTTAAGCTAAAGGACTGTATAGAGTCTATAGACTATAGATGTAATAGAAAACAAAAAACATGTGTTTTATTGTTACGATTTCCTAAATAAGTTCTAGATGTTCCTTCAGAGTATACAGGATGTGACATGTACAGACCTGGTTTTGAAATGGCGCAGGGGTACGATAATTGTGGCTGTGAATTTGCTTCCCTTTCCATGTGTTGATGCCTGCAAATAATGTACATGATGCAAATGGAAAGGAGTTAACCAACGTTTTTTTTTTTTTTTTACTTTCGATTTTTTCAATCCTGCGATTTCAGTCATTCGCATAGACTCCGCATTTAGAGAAAATCCTTTACAAGTGGTTTTCGATTTTCCTCTACAAATACATATCAAGGCAGGAATTGTAATTTCTTCTCCACCTTTACAACCATTTCTATGCAAGGACTTTACAAATGCAATTCAAGTTTGGAACCTCGAAAACTCATTTCAAGACGACAATCTCAAATTGCACCTCTAGTAGTCTTTCGAAAGTACTTTTAGCTTGATGTTCAAGAGCGTTTACCTTTGCACCCGTATTCTCATTCCTTGGTTTGAAATTCGAAAACCCCCTCCCCAATCTTGATTCTTGGATGATAAAGGTAAATTCATCCCCTCGATCAATACAAGATATACAATGCAGAATCAACTTAGGTAACTAAACCAGCTCAAAATGTGCAAACTTCGAATAAATTCTAATTCGCCAAATACTACTTTAAAAATGTAAAAATTTTAAAAACGAACAAAGTTTACCACAGTGGTGGAAATGTGTTGAGTCATTGCATAACTGTATGGGTTCAAATCTCGTCCGATAACTAATCTAACATCTAATCGAACAAAATCTATCGTTTAACAAAAAAAAAAAAAAAAAAAACAAACAAACAAATTTGAAAGCTGTGAAAAAAGATAAGTTCATACCTTGAATTTGGGGAAGACGAGGTTCAGTATGATGACCAGAACACACAACCACGGCATCATAAATCTCATCTTCCACATCCCCACCTCCCTTACTCCTCGACTTCACCTTCCACTTCCCGCCCGCCGCCGCATCCACCAGCACCACCTCCGTCTCCAACCTCACAATCTCCGATATCCCAAACTCTCCGGCGAAGTCCTTCAAGTACATTAGCACCTCTCTGTGAACCGGAAACCTTCTCGGGTCTCTCTCTTCGTCTCCTTTTTTGGCCACAAATGGGTAGTCCCGAAACCCCATGGCCTCTCTCGGCAGGTTTGTCCTCAGCGACTCGTACATGCTCGAGTGGACCAGGGTCCGATTTGGGTTGACTCCGATTGGGTCGGACTCCACATTCGGATTGTAAACCCACGTGCCTCCCAATTGGTCTCCTCGCTCGAAAACAATCACTTTGTGACCTTCTCTCCGGAGCTCACGTGCGGCGACCAGGCCTGCTGCGCCGGCTCCGATCACTGCCACATGGCGGGAGGCCAGATGATGAGATTGGGGTTTGTGGACAAATGAGTTTGAGTATCCACTCATTATCATTGATGTTTGCTTGGATTCATGAGATTAACGGAACCAAACTTGTCAAGAAGATGCTAGAAGTGAGTAGTAGCCAAGGCCTTGATAAACAAATCAGCCAACTGATTATGACTACGAGTAAAAATTATTTGAATAATCTTGGATTGAACTTGTGCGCACACATAACAGTAATCCACCTTAACATGCTTGGTGTGTTCATGGAAGATCGGATTCGACGCAATGTGTATCTGTTTGGGTCTAAAATAATATTGGTAGGCCACGTATAGGTTTATGCTCGGCCCAAAGCTGTTTCAAATATACTATGGGTTGCTTGGTGATCTCGGGCCATTCAGTAAAGATGGTCGAGTCCTATCACAAGAAGAAGTAGTTCGGATAAGCAAAGGGGTCGAAGAAGTCCTAGTGTAATTTGGATTCTCGACCAACAATAAATATAGCCTAAAAAAGGGGGTGGGTTCAAAGTCCTAATAGGGGTAGGATTGATCGAAGTAGAGTTGGAGCAGAACAAGAAGTCCCAATCCAGATATGATTTTGACTTGATCTCAAGGAGGATTTGGTGCTATAAATACAAGACATTATGCAACAATTGGAGGACCTCCAATTCAACACACAACTGCCCTGCGCAAAACCTCTCAAACATCTTGAGATTTTTTATTTTCTTTTTCCCGCCGACACATCTTCAGTTTGGATAAACAGCACTGTGAAGGCAACCGGCGAACACCTTTAGTTTGGATAAATAGCAATGTCACCGTAGAATCAGCCGACTAAGGAGCACCTTCGGTTTGGATAAATAGCACTGCGTCGATGCCGACTGGTTACCTATCCAAGTTTCAGTCAAGAAGGGTTTTCGAATCCTTATTGGCAGAGGTCATCTTATTAGCCTTCTCAGCGAAGTAAGGTGTTACGAGTTACGATATTCGGCGTATTGAACGCCGAGTGATTTTATGATTAGATACTCACAAGTGAGTTTCAGAGTTCGGCATTCTGACGGCCGAACTACATTTACCATCAAGACATACATCACCTTTGAATACTTGTGTCCGTACAGTCTGGTGTCGATTTGACATATTTATACTCTCACGGATATAATCACTATGACCGAATGCAGCACCGACGATTTGTGAACTTCGCAGAACTAGCAGCCTTGTCTTTAGGGTCGAGAATCAAAAGGCCGAGATTTGTTCCTTCCTCGGCCACAATCGCAAGATAAAGAAGTCAGCAATGCGCTCAACGCAACGTCAACAAATTTTATTCCTCGGTCGAGCTTGGCCGACGAGTTGGCACTCCCCACATTTAACCGAAGAACGTAGTTAACTTATTAGTTACTCGGCCTGCACGCCACGTAGGCTTTGTAATTTTTAGGGTCAACATTTTGGCACGCCCAGTGGGACCTTATGCTAGACCTTCGGAGTTCATAACCATTGAAACACGGTTCGTAAAGAAGAAAACAATCATGTGAAAGTCAACAACTGACTTACCAGTGCAAGGCCCTGAACAAGATTTGTCTCAAGCACAAAATCCCATCATTGTTGCACCACCCGAGGCTACAAGTGCGACACGCCGAGATAAGGAAATTTGTCTTGGCGGACAGCCTCGCAACCTATAAATTCTCAACCAAATGGCAGGCATTTTCGTCGAAGGGATAATGGAAGATTGCGACGAAGATGATGGGGAAGGTTCTGATCCGCCAACTAGGTCGTTTCTTCGAAGACGACTTGATGAACAATCTTGGCAGGTCGAGCAGTCGATTGGCCAGAAAATGAATAATTTACTTGACGCAATACAAAGCAATAGTGATACACAGACCAGGATGCTTGAACTATTGGTTAGTAAAGCCTTCGAAGATGGCCACGTCGGCCAACCTCAATAGCCTCCTTTTAAGAATGTTCCATTGCAAGCCGAAAAAGGATCTGCTCGGCTACAACCAATTGACTTGGAAAAAAGAGGCGGATCAAGCATTAGATTTGATGAACCTGACCAGGGAGTAGAAGCAACATTCGTCAATATGACTGAGGTCCAAAGAATGACTCGACCTTAAAAAAAGGGCCGAAGTTCCCAAAATTCATCCATCCGTACCCGACTTATGTGGAAAAGTTCGAATACCCTAACGGCTTCAAGATCCCCGACTTCAGTCTGTTCGCCGAAGAATCGTCCTTATCCTCGTTAGATACTGTAGCTTGGTTCACGGTGCAATGTGGGGACGTCAATAGCGACTTCCATAAATTACGGCTATTCAACTTTTCACTGACGGACTCAGCTTTTGCTTGGTACATTAATCTCCCACCAAACTCCATCCAGAGTTGGGAGGAATCGGTCGAGAAGTTCCATGAACAATTCTATCGACCAGGGATGGAAATATCCGTTTCATCGTTGGCTAGGATGGCTCAAGCTTCAGACGAATCGCCAATGAAATACTTAACAAGGTTCAAGTCGGCTAGGAATTGGTGCCGAGTACCTCTTCCTGAAGTTGAATTCGTCAGAATTGCCTTAAACGGCCTGGACGTGGAATACAAAAAGAAATTCCTAGGGGCAAATATTCGAGATATGTACGAACTTGCTCAGCACGTTGAGCAGTATGATTATTTGCTTCGAGAGGAAAAAATATCGAAGTCCCCATCTTGGGGAACAATATACAAGAATCCTACGGTCAGCTACGCATTGGCCGAAAACGATTACCCCCAATACGCCAGTGTGGACGCGGCTGAAATAGTGATAGATAAACCATACGTTTGCAAGACATTGGCTCAAATCAATCCCAAAGATGCCAAGATCCACTTGGCCCCCGAGGAGATGATTAAAACATCAAAAGTTTACACTTTTAATATTACCAAAGCCGATGCAATTTTTGACCAGTTGTTGGTAGCAAAAATCGTCAAACTTCGACCAGGACACAACATCCCTAAGGCCGAAGAATTGAAGGGCAAAACATATTGCAAGTACCATAATTCAAACAAACATGCTACCAATAATTGTGTGGTATTCCGTGATGCGATTCAAAGTTGGGTTTGAGAAGGGTAAGTTAAAATTCCCGGAGAAACAGATGGCGGTTGACGTCAATCCCTTCCCCTCGACAACAATTGGTATGGTAGATGCTCATCTCCCTAAAAACAAAGGAAAGGGGAAGGCCGAATTCGTCCTGGTGCAGCATGTCCGTAAGCAGAATGGTCAGTCGAGACTGAAGATTGATTTATTTTCAAATGCACCACCTACGGAGTCTTTAGGGCCGGCCATCGTTGAACCCACGTCAAGTTCTAGTTCCGAAGAAACTGATGAATCAATGGTTTTATGCAACCACTGTAAAACACGAATTGAACCTAAAAAAAAAGTATCTCCGGCGCCAACTTCATGTACGCCATCCACAGTCGCATCAAAACCACCGAAGGAACTCGGTACTGGCCCACGACGACAAATGTTTGAGAAACTTGGCCCACAGGTACAAGAAAAAGACCCAACCCCAGTCAGACGACGTCTTGACTTTGACGCGCCATTCTATAATGAGGACTATTACTCGTGCAACTCAGGCAGCTTGAGTTTATCAGTAAGTCGAAAAACCTTTAAGCCACCAAATACACGTGACCAACGTTGGTATAGTTACAATTCTTCAACTGGCCTGTATATGGTGTTATCTAAGTCTCAAAAATGTCGTCGCCAGTGGATAGATTGCATGGCTCGACGATAAGAAGCACAGGCTTATTCGACTACCCGGTGGCAGCCAAAAGAGGCCGTAGGAAGTGGCGACGATTGGCCTACCCCAACCATTGTGGTCGAATTACTTCAAGAGAAAAAGGCAGTTGATCGCGACTTGGAGACCACCATTAAAGAGTCCGAGAAATGCATCAAGCTTTTTCTTTGGCTCGGAGAGATGAGAGCTCGTCTCGAGCATTTTAGACAAGAAGCTGAAAGTAAACTTCCCTCGCTACCACCGTAGGAATTGTTAGTAAAAGTACGGTGCAATCTGCACCCTCTATTCCTCAGTGAATTCTTGGAGTACATGCGGGAATTTCATAAGAAATATTCTGCTAATGACTTATACGGACTACCAAAGGCATGTCAGGAAGCCCTCGACCTAGCACTAACTTACCTTGATGCTGAGCAAATTATCCAGAAAACTTTCGATCCGGCAATGAAAGCTAGGTTCCAGCATATACGTGAGGCTCGAGTCCTCGGCTTTGAGGTCGACCCATACACAGATATAGACACCGTCGAGTTACCTTTTTCACTCGAAGACCTTCAGCATTTGCGATATCATTTCGAAGTTTTCTTGGCCGTATCTCTTTTCGGCCTTACGACCGATGAGGAAAATTGTTGGTGCATTTAGACGCATACCTAGACACAAGGAACGCTCGAATCACCTACGAAGAACGAGCCTGTAAAGTATTACAAGAACGAAATCAATCTTCGGCAGTAAACACGCTTGAGGAAGATGACCAGAATAGAATAGATTCAGTCCACACGTGATGTGATAAATAATAGCACTCAAATTAAACCCACTTTTTGACAATTGTAGTATAGATATAAGTAGGGATCGTTCTAGGCCGGGGATTAAGAGGGATTGCTAATCTAATGAAAACTGACTCAAAGATACAAAAATATGCTTAAAAACACTTAAACAAACTCAAAGATTCTTGACTAAACTTATATGACTCAAAACAAACTTAAAAGACTCAAAACAGTCAAAATGACTCAATTTAGACTCTAGGATTAAGTTTCGACGAAAATACAATTGGTTTTGACTCAAAAGACTCAAAAACACACTTTTGGATAGATTTAAAACAAGCAAGTAAAGGGGAATTGGTTTTGGACGAATTTAAGAGAAAAACAATTAATTGAAAGACTTAAAAGAGATTTGGATGAATTTGGGAAAAACCAATGGATGATTAGATAGCTAAGGGATACTTTTCCACACATGATACATTCAAACATAAATTGATTTCCAGTTGCTTTTCCGATAAACCATGAACCTCAACACCCCAGATTAACCGTGACATCACTAATTAACCCTCAAATTTTCCTTAAGTTATTGGATTGGATGACGTCATACGACAACCCAAAGCATTCTTCAAAAGTTCCCTACATGACATCATAATAGAGATACAATCAAAGATCATTACGTTCAATGAAAATCATAAGTATTGACAAAGCACTC